GGAGGGTGGGTTGGAAAGGGGGAACCGAATACAAGAATCTACATGAGACCTCCTCCCTGGGGGACGGACAACAGAAAAGTGGGTGAAGGGAGACGTCGGACAGGACAGGATTTGACAAAATAATAATTTATAAATTATCAAGGGTTCATGAGGGAGGAGGGAGCGGGGAGGGAGGGGAACAAAGGAGGACCTGATGCCAGGGGCTTAAGTGGAGAGCAGATGTCTTGAGAATGATGAGGGCAGTGAATGTACAAATGTGCTTTACACAATTGATGTATGCGTGGCTTGTGATAAGAGTTGTATGAGCCCCTAATAAAACAATTTAAAAAAGAAATGATGAAGTCAAAGAGCTGAGCAGAAGCAGAGGAAACAGAGCAGAGCATTATCATGAACTGTGCGAAGATGAGTTCAACCACCAAGGGAACATGCTCGGTCTTTTTCAAGCTGAGAACTGAAGGGGGAAAGACTCGTGCTTGCATTGAACGATGCAGAGAGCATCAAAAGAAGACGGAAGGAATACCGGAGCCACTGTACTACAAAGACCTGGTTAACATTCACCTTCGTCAGGAGGCAGTATCTGATCAAGAACCCAGGGAAGGAAGACGTTCGAAGACGTTCAAATGGCATTGAAGGCATTCGTGAAAAACAAGGGTCCAGGAATTGACGGCATGCCCATTGAAATGTTTTCCTTGTGTTAATGAGGCAAGATTAGGGAGGGATGTGTCGTGAACCATTACCTTTCTAGATGGTGTGGCTCACATTTCTACCCTCACCTTACTCGTTGCCCTTTACCACCTTACTGCCTGCTTTATAAGGAGCCCTGGTGGTATAATAGATTACCTGTTGGGCTGCTAACCACAAGGTCAGCAGTTCAAAACCACCAATGGCTCTATGGGAGAAAGATGAGGCTTCCTATGCCTGTAGAGACTTACAGTCTTGGAAACTCACAGGGGAAGTTCTACGCAGGCCTACAGGGTGCTGACTTGGCACTGGCTCCATGGCATGCGTTGGTTTGGACATGGGCAGGAGATGGCACGGTGAGTCTCACGGCCCAAGAAGGGAGAGAGTTGAGGCCTATCGGCAGGGAGTTTACTGGAGGAACAGGGTGCCTCAGGGGACGTATTGGTGGCCCTAAAGCAGTGGTTCTCAACCTTCCTAATGCCATGACCCTTTCATACAGTTCCTCATGTTGTGGTGACCCCCCCAACAATAAAACTATTTTCATTGTTACTTCATCACTGTCATTTTGCTACTGTTATGAATCAGGTGATCCCTGTGAAAGGGTTCATTTGACCCTCCCAAAGAGGAGAACCGCTGCGCTAGAGTCCTGTAACACTTGCTTGAGTGGGGCAGAAGCCAGACTGCGAGGCTGAGAGCTGGGGAGAATAGGTTGTTCTGACCACAGAACTGTATCCTGAGTCATTTCTTTTCTTCTTCTCTCTTAATCCTGCCGCTTCTCTCTTAATCCTCCTAACCGGGTGGACGGTCCGTGACTTCTGTGTGGCCACTGCACCACATGCTCAGCTCAGCAGGGAAGGGAAACGTGCCACAGGAGGGACGGCTGGGTCGGAATTGCTAAGAAGGGTGGAGGGGGGCGACCTGCCTGACTTCTGCCACCAAGCACCTGGCCTGGGCTGATGCTGACGTTGCTTCTCCCTGGGGTGAAGTTAGTTAGAGGAGGTCCTTTTCACCGTTTCTGGCTGACGGGGAGGGGAGAAAACCAACGGGCCCAGAGCCAAGGGGGCGGAGGCCCTGTCCCCACTCACCTCGGTGTGTCCAAGGCTCGGATGACAGTTGAGAGGAACCGGCCGTCCCTGGAGGTCACCTGCGCCACATACTGGGGCGGCCCGAGGCCCGTGGACTCCACGACCTTGGTGAGGGCGGGGCTGCCGGAGCAGTCGCACAGGGAGCCGGGGAGGTGGCAGCAGTCGTCTGTCGTCATTGCCACAGGGAGGGCCTCGTCTTCAGGGCCCAAGGCCCATGGTCCCGGGAGCCTGGGGAGAGGCTGGCAGGGAGGGTGAAGGGAAAGGTTTTTAGGAGCCAAACAGAGCGGGGTTCGAATCCAGCTCTGGCCCGTGGGCGGGGACTTACTTCTCTGGGCCTCAGTTACTCCCTTTGTAAAGTGGGGCACACAACCCAGCCTGGCACACAGTAGGCCCCACCATCAGCACCTCTAACTCCCCCCAGAAAGGCCAGTGGGGTCCTACCTCCAAGCACTCCTTCCCCTCCCAGGAGGCACGTTCACATAGTGCTGCCCAGGGCCTCTCGGGGGGCACCCTGCCAGCTGGGGTGGGCAGTAGATGAGAACTCAGCTAGAAACGTGGCTCAGTGACTCCCACAATCACCTTCTTGGAGGGCTCTGAGCTCCTGGCCTTAGGCACCCTTGGCCACCAAGCCAGTGGCAGTCTGGACAGGACCTGGGTGGCCTCTATCCCCCAGACCAGCTACTCACAACATGCCTCAGGATCCACAGTTGCTCTGAGAGGGGCCAGACCTGTACAAGGGAACCCTAGGGTGAATCCCTTTCTTTGCCCCCCACAAGTCGAGGAGACAGAAGGAAGGCTTCCAGCTGGTGTCACATGGTGAAGAGACCTCTCCAGATGTCCCTGCTCTGGAACCAAGGTGGGGGGGTGGGAGGGGGTGGCCACAAATGGTTTGCACTCGACTACTGATTGAAAGGTTAGTGGCGTGAACCCACCCAGAGAAAGAAAGGCCTGGTGATCTGCTTGGGCAAAGATTTTAGCCAAGAAACCCGGACGGAGGCGTTCTACTCTGTCACATGGGGTCGCTGTGCGTGGGTGTGGTTTGGAGCTCAGAGGGTTGAGAAGAGCCAGGGGGCCCTGGAAGTCACCTGGGCCACATAGTGGGGTGGCACCATGAGGCCCATGGATTCCATGACTAAGCTTGGTTTGATGCTAAGGCTGCCCTTTGGTCTCCCTCTCCAGCCGCAATGACTCAGAGCCCTCCACCCCCACCCCCAACCCCTACCCCAACAGCCCCTAGAGGGCACAGAAACCAAACTCAAAGGGCCAGTCAGGCACCCACTGACTCCCTGAACCCCCTTCCCTCTCCCCCTCCCTGCCCAGTCACAGCCTGAGGCCCCTGAGAGTGAGGGCCAGGCAGCACCACTGTTGGCAAATTCTCTGCACTGGGACATTCTGCAGCAGATCCATGCTCTCTGACCCCTCAGCTGGAACCTGCTTGGCCCCAAGAGGCCTTTTGAGCCCAGATAAGCAAAGCCAGCCAAGCTGAGCCCAGCCGGGGAGGAAGGCTGCAGCCGGAGATATGGCCCCGGGCCAGCAGCTCTCGCTTCCGGCTCAGAGGTCTGTGGGAAAGGGGCTGGGCTCTCCCAGCAACTGTTTGGAGAAGGGAGTCTGTTCTTCCCAGCTCCAAGGATCAGTCCAAACTCTGCAAATAGCTGTGAGTCACCCACATATCCAGGATTGATAGCGCGGACGGCATGGCAATTGAGGATGGGATAGCAATTGAAAGGTTTCGGCCAACAGATGCAAGACTGGAAGCGCTCACTTGTCTATGCCAAGATGTTAGGACACAGCTACCTCACCACCCGACTGGGAGAAATCTCTGACACACACACCCCCAATTCATGCCCATCCCAAAGAAATTTCCTGCAAATGAATGCAGCCATAGTCAAACAAGATCCCTAATATCACAGGCAAGAAACGTTTTTGCTGAAGATGATACAAATACCTGTTGGAGCCGTACGTGGACAGGGAGCTACCAGAAATTCAAGTCGGATTCAGAAGAGGATGTCGAAAAAGGGATCTCACTGCTGATGTCAGACACCAGATATTCCTGGCTGAACCCAGAGAATGACAGGAAGAAGTTAACTGGTCGTTTCTCGAGTATGCAAAGGGAGCTGAATGTGTGGATCCTAACAGATTAGGGATCCCATTGAGAGGAATGGGGATTCCAGGACACTTTGCTGGGCTCCTGTGGAAGCTGCACACAGACAGAGGCAGCCCTTGGAATATGGCAGACAAGGGGATGCTCAAACGACAATCACCACTCACGACGTCGGGGTGATTCCGAGTGGAACTTAAATTGCCCCCGTAGGTTTCTGTATTTGTAAAATACCATTTCCTTTCCTTGCTTGAAGAGTCCCATTGGGTTGGTTACAATTCACAGTAACCCTAGATGCAACAGAATGAAACACTGCCCAGTTCTCTGCTATCACCTACATTGCTGACTGTATCAGTATGGGTAGACTAGAGAAAAAAACCCAGGGAGATTCATATGTGTATAAGAAAGAGCTATACTCCTTACAGAGGTACGAAACCTCACCTTTCTCCCGTGGAGTGGCCAGTAGTTTCAAACTGCTCACCTTGCAATTAGCAGCTCAACGCAGAACTCGCTGAGCTACCAGGACTCCTATAAGGCAGCGGTTCTCAACCTTCCTAATGCCGCGACCCTTTCATACAGTTCCTCATGTGGTGGTGATCCCCCCAACCATAAAATTATTTTTGTTGCTACCTCATAATTGTAATTTTGCTACTGTTATGAATATGGCAACACCTGTGAAAGGGTCGTTTGACCCCCAAAGAGGTCGTGACCCACAGGTTGAGAACCACTGCTATAAGGGCTACATGGCTTAAAATGTGGAAGGCATGAATCAGGGTGCTAGCCTTTCACCATACTATTCAATCTGTATGCTAGGAAAACAAGCTAAGAAACGGGACTACATGTGGCAGGATTGAAGGAAGCCCTGTTAACACGCATGCAATACGCTGATGACCCATCCTTGTTTGGTCAAAGCAAAGATGTGAAACGCTTATTGATGGGGGATCACATTCAACTTGGATTATACCTCAACATAAACCAAAGTCCTCACAGCTGGACCAATAAGCGACATCAGGATAAGTAGAGAACTTGCACTCATAATCAATGCCCATGGAAGCAGACATCAAAAAATCAAACACCATATTGGATGGGGGCAAATCTGCCACACAAGGCCTCTTTAACGTGATTAAAAAGCAAGGAGGTCACCTGGAAGACTACAGTGTACTTGACCTAAGCCATGGTATTCTCCATCTCCTCAGATGCCCGTGAAAGCTGGACAGTCAATAAAGAGGACCAAAGAAGAATCGATGCCTTGAAGTTGCAGTGTTGGCAAAGGACAAGGAAAGTACTGTGGACTGCCAGAAGGACACACTAATCTCACTTGGAAGAATTATAACCGGAATGCTCCTGAGAGGCAAGCATGGCGAGACTTCCTCTCATGCCCTTTGGACATGTGGTCAGGAGAGACCACTCCCTGGAAAAGGATATCATGCTTGGTCGAGTGGAGGGGCAGAGGAAAAGAGGACGGCTCTGGACAAGATGGACGGACACAGCGGCTGCAACAGTGGGCTCAGACACGGCAAGAATAGAGAGGGTTTTGCAGAACCAGGCAGTGGCTTGTACTGTTGTACATGGGGTGCTGTGTCCTGGGGCTCTGGTCCCACAGAGATGGTTGTGATCTAGTGGAGGAATGGATAAAGACACTACGGTACATACGCCCAAATAGAACACCATGCCTCCCGGGAAAAAAACCACTGATGAGAGCATGACACACCACATGACATGGAAGGACCTGGAAACCATTATGCTGGGTGAAGTGCGTCAATCACAAAAGGACAAATATTCTATGAGTCCACTACGATGGGGAGAAACACCAATTAAACAAATCTTAGGGAGCAATTCCCAAACAAAAGGGTAGAAAGTGTGTCTATCAGCCATGAACCATACATGACCCCCTTATGTGCACTTCCTAAGAACCACCTCAAAAGAGGAGATCTCACCTTGGGTGGGGTCACTCCTTCAAGAAGGGGGGGAAGGGAGAAGACCATCCGCTTGACGCCGTGCAACACCGAGACAAAGCGGGGACAAAGCAGCAGGTCCTCTATGATACTAGAAAATCAAGTTAAGACGAGGGGGGCAGCCGCATTTCAGAGGGGGCGCTCGGCTTTCTGTGGGTGGGTGTGGTGGTCAATGGGGAGGAGCAACCCCACATTGGGAAGGGATGCGAACAATAATTGTAGGGAACCTAAAGGGAGAATCAACCTGGTTCTATCTTCCTGGATAGACGCTTCAAAGATGTTTCTACCCAATCCTCGGTGAACCACACCACAGACTAAGTACCATGATGACCTTAAGACACTGGCCTTACAGAGAACGTCATCCTCTATGGGCCACACCAGACGGGTTCAATGTGGAAGCCCGATTGAACAAACTGGGCCCTACCCCCACCCCCAAACCACCTGTACCCTTGGACTTAGGAATGAAACTCTCTGATGGGAGAGGGAGCAAAAGGATGGCCACCCCAAGACTGTGGAAATTGGACCTTGAGTGGGACCCCTGCTTAGTGGGTGTCCAATTGAAAGGGGAGCTAGAACCATCGTGTATTTAATACCTCAATGCTCCCCCTGCTTTAATATGACAGGTTTTAATCTGACAGGCAATGATCTGCACTCCTAAGAAATTATACAGGAAAATGTCCTCTAGCACCAACTCCCATGCTCAGTGTAATTATGCTCAATCAATTAAGAATGATTGCAGCTCACAATTGGACTAGACTCATATCACTAGTATCTTAAATCCTATGTCATTAGATAAACTATTGTTGTTAACAATGCAATCACCTTATGCCCTAAGGGAATGATGGACAATGTTTATCTTTTTTGTTTTTCTGCCTTTTGTTGTTGTTGTTGTTCTTGTTGGGTTTTGCTTTTGTCATAACATGACCGCCAAAGTCAATCAGAGTCATTCATAATCTACGGACAAGAAGTTGGATTCTGGGCTCCCACTTTAATTCTAGTCCCGATCCACAAACAGTTAGTTCTCATAACATGGCCCTGCTCCATGCTCGCCTTCATGAAGAGATCACTGAAGATAAGGGTGCTACAGTAAATGTGGTGAGGAAAGCAGATGGTGCCCAGCTAGCAATCAGAATAGGGTCTGGGGTCAGAAAGGCTTGTATCCAAACAAGCAGCCATCTGAGTGAGG